TAGTCGATGTCACTGAACTGTGCATGTAGAAATTTTTGAAATGGTGTATCTTTGGCTATGTATATTTTCACCAAAAAAAAAAAAAAAAACGGTCGAGAAAGGAGACGGTTGACATGTCGTGGGGTTGTTAACCAATGTCATAAAACAATGTGTGTACTACTGTTTAATGAGAAACTATTTATTCTGTAAACCTTTACCTGTAAGTACAATTAAAAAAAAAAAAATCCAAGCCACAATCTATGTTGCAAAGCCTTGTAATATATCTAGCAAGGGAAGAGAACAGCAATGTTCTAGTCTCTCTCACCTTTTTTCCATTCCTAGAGTTAGCTGTCTGTACTGGTTCCACTCCCAAACAGTTAAATTCTGCCTTATTATTTTTTTTACACCTCTGCCACTTCTGTTTTCTGCGATCCTCCATATACTGCAATAGAAGAATATGAGTTATCCTAAAAGTATAAAAATCTTCTTGAAAGTAATTATTAAGTTACTTGTGTCTTTAGTTTGGTAATAAATGTTTATTGTAAATGATGAGTCCTAGTGGGAAAATGCTATCAAGTGGATCTTCCAAAAAAAAAAAAAAATTGAGGTGGTTTATTTATATAATAGTTTAATAGTAAACATTTACATAGCTTTTAATTTAAGTAAAGTGCTTTTTTAACATTTTATTTTGATCCTCACAACAACTCTGTGAGGTAGGAAGATTGGGTATTGCCATTATTTTGCAGATGCAGAAACAATGACATAATATGGCATGCTTTCTCCCTCTCGCACAGCTTAAATACCAAGAGAATGACTTTAAATGCTGCTGGATGGAACTGCCACTCACCGCTAGAAATCGGGGATCGACAGCAAACTCTGGATGACCCTGTAACCACATCTCCAGTTCAGCCCGGCGAGGGGCATCCTCACCCACCAGCAAAGTACCATCCACCTTATTGATGACAGGGATCCGGGTCTCCAGGTCCACATCAAGGTGATTAGGCTCTTCCATGCACTCCACCTCCAGCTGCAAACCCAGAATCCACCCCCATGAGCACATACTCTTCTTTGGGGCAGGAAGAAGAGAGGGAGCAGAGCCATTGGTAGCCATAAGATAAGTCTTAATATCTTCCAGTCCCTCAATCCCAACTGCCTTCATCAATTACTGGGAATACAAAGATCTTATCTAATCATCATTTTGAAGAGCTTCACCACCACTCACCTCCACTAGCTTCTTTCTATTCCCCTTCTTCTTATGAAACAGTGGATGTCCATCTCCCATTACTCCATTAGCCATCAACTTGTGCTTCTGGAATGTTAACTTCAATCCCCCTTCCTCCTAGGAAGATACCCCACATACCCAAGACATCATATAGCACATGTTTTTAAAGTACAGAGTAAATCTTGGGGGACCTGGGCTAAGGGTCACCCTCTTGGATCAATGATGGTGAGAGGAAAAGCCATCTGACTAAAGAGTAGAAGTTGGAAATACAATGAAACTTACATAGTTTTTCCTTAGAAAGATTTCATTTCTTAACCTAGTGCCCCTCAGGTAGATTTAAGAGAAGTAGAATTTACCTCAATAACACCCAATGCTGGGTAAAGCCCCCTGGTGTCTCAGTATTAGCATGGCAACTCATCACAGGGGCAAAATCCTGATATTGCTGTCACAGACTAATTTAAAAATTTTCCTGTTTCAGTACTTAATGGCCAATTAATATGGTTCAAAACAAAAAAAAACACTGATGTAATTTGGGTAGGAATGATTCCTTTTATTTTTAATGAGGCCCACAATGCTTAAGTATCATTCTAACAGCTTTCTCATAATTTTACTTTAGTTTTTAAAAACCAGCTTTAGATCTAGAAATGAGTCAACCAAAAGGGATCCTTTGGTCAATTAAATTTTCTTCAAAAATATGGTTTTATTTTAATCTAGTTCTCAGGTGATACAAGTCAAGAACTCTTCCCTTGAATGATTTTCCTAAACTAATCTTTGTGACCTCTAACAGTTTTTCTTCCCTCCTCTTCACAGTTCCACTCTGACACATGGGGGGTCGCCATGAATTGGGAGTCCACTCAACAGCAGCTGGTATGGTAAGGTATCATTTTTAAAGTTAGCTAACCACATGCGTTCAGTATCCTGTTAGTGAAACCATTAGCAAGAATTACAGCCTCCTTCCTCCCTTCCCAATGCCTAAATGCTGTGCTTACATCTTTGATCTGAACTGTAAACTCCTTCTCATCCACGCCTCGGCGAAGTTTGGTGAACTGGGCTGCTGCTGTGCTGACTGCAGATGCTTCCTCCTCAGCCATGGAAGCTGCACTGCTACTTCGTGGCGTGGGGACCGGAGAGTCACCATATTCTCCTGGGGTCAATGAGGGACTGTCTAGCAAGTGGTTGCCCAGCCCCAAGATTCCTCCTGTTACCATTTCCTGGTTCCGACGGCTAGAAGGCCACTTCCCTGAGAGTACAGCCTGGCAGACGAGGTCAATACGGTTTATCAGGACACGATCCTGATTGGGAAAAACAAATCAATACTGGTTTTAGGGCCTGAGAACCGGCTATATGATCCTGTGCAAACAATAGTGCTGTCGTTACCAGTGTGGGTAAAAGTCATAAGGCAGAAAGGATGGAGGTAATCTAAGCTATCAGATCACTTAAGTCAACTGGGAGGAGTTGCATGAAAAAACATACAGCACTAAATGCAGGTAATAAAGAAAACCAGAACCATCTGTTCTTTGTTCCCTATATATAATGTTACGCTGTATTTCTGAACTTTGCATGTCCAGGAATGAGGCTGTTACCTTGGGCCACTCAGAGGCTCTTTGTCTTTCCTGAAGCATCAGAAGCTCCGGGGTCATTTGTTCTCCCTCTTCATTTGGGAATCCATCTTGGGACATAGTGAGGGACAGGAGACTCTCTTCATCATAGAGCTTTGAATGGGACCGGTCAGCAGCTGGAGATCACATAGAATGTGTGAGCAAAGATGGAAAAAGAAAGTTATATAGAAATGGTATTATATGGGCCATGAATGAAAGCCCAAAAAATAACATAACTCTCTTGACATTCTATCAAATCAAAATCTGAGTCTCTCTCAGAAGACGCATTTAGAAAATAAAGGAAAGAGCAGGGAGGTAGAAAATTGGTAAGAGGGCCAACTGCTGTCACATGCACTCACTTAGCTTCTCTTCCTTCTCGTCCTCACTCTCATCAGTGCTGGAGCTGGAGCTGGATGAGGATGAGGAAGAGGATGACGGTGACAGCTTGCTCAAGTCCAGCTCAGAGTCTGAATCATCCTCATCCTCCAGTTTGACTGGTGGAACACTCCGGGAAACCAGAGGTGCAGTATCAGAGGAGTTTACTCGCATCTCATAGTCTTGTGGGGTTGGTCGGCTCCTGGCCACCACCTCATGCTCTAGCTTTAAGGTCAGACTCTCCAGACTGGGGATCTGGGCAGCTGTCTCCTCAGGTGGCTTTTCAACAGGAACATCTGGGCGCAGGGGCAGTGGTGAGGCAGTGCGCGAGGTATACTGCTGGTGTAGCAGTGGAGTAGAGCAGCGTGATAGGGATGGAGCTGGTGCTCCTGTCTGATAGTTCTGCATATAATTCATACGGGCAGCCAGAAAAGAGAAGTCTGGGTCCTGCATGATGTTGCAGTCTGTTTGGCTCACCCCATGGCGGGCTGCCCCTCGTAGAAGCTCTCCATCGTGCCGAACAGGCTCCCACCATTTGGGCAATTCAGGACCTGGAGGCTGACATAACGACAGCCTATCTTCCAAAAGAGGATGGCACAAAACTTGTTCCCGTAAGCGCCGAAGCAATTCAATACGGTAGAGAGTCCGAGAGGCTCTCTCCTCAGTGATAGGCTCAATGAACAGATTAGGGTCCGGGGGTTCTAAAAGAGATAGGGTAGAAGGAGAAATGAACCAAGATTTGGTTCTGTTGCCATCCACTCCCACCCACCCTAGAATCTCCAAGTCTCACTTACCATCGCCAGCTGCAGGGGGAAGACGGCACACCTGGCGGCACATGGCCACAAAGCCATGGAAGTACTTGGTAAGGCTCTCGTCTGTTTTTTTGTCCAGTCGGGCAAAAGTGCGGAAGCGATCCCAATGAAACTGCATAGTATCAGGGTCATACTCCACACCAAAGGTCGACACAACTCGATAGAAATCAGTTTGTTCACGCCTTGTCCATCTTTTTTACAAAGGAAAGGGAATATAGAAACAGTGATCAGGAGACCACAGGAAAACTGGTTACTTCTTAGTGTGGCTTCAAATACACATGACCCAAGGACAACACAAATTGAAGTTAGAGGCAAAAAAAGAAAAAGAAAAAAAAAAAAAAAAAGAGCCCGGAAGACAGCAAAAGAGGTATTAAGAGACACTATGACATGTATGAATTAGCAAGCTGAGGGGGTAAATGATGCAGACAAATAACTCAATGAGAATGACTACATAGGAGACCTAGTCTCCTACCTGGGAGTGATGGTTATGCACATAAGTGAGGTTTTAAGACCTAGAGGGCAACAATTCAAGGCAGAAAAGAAGGTCTCTCTGTAGGGAATTCAAATAAATCCTTCCCAAGATGCTTTTAAATACAGGGCCCATACCTGAAGACAAGCTTACAGCTCAACCCAAATTCCCAGTCATACATATCATACCTTTGCTGTTTCTCTCGTCGGGCAATTTCTTTTAGCTTAAAGGCTGCCTCACAACGCCGCCGCCGCCGGTCCCCACGTTCTGCAGCCTCTATCTTCATCTGCTCTCTCTTATAGCTGCGCTGATAGGCTGTTACTAGTCGCCGAAGCCTAGCTGTCAGGGCAGAGCCTGGAGGCCAGAATAGATGGCCTGGCTGTTGGGTCACCTGGGCTACAGAAAGCAAAGTAAAATGAATAGGAAGTACGGAAAGGGTAGTACAGTTTATACTAGTATTGCAACCCACCCAAAGGCAAAGGTCTTAGAAATCATGGGGTAAGATAGAATTCAGTTAATAATTCCCCAACCCCACCACCCCACACAAAATTGTACTAGTTGACCTAGAACTTTACCTTCATCTCCATCAATCACTGAGATCTCCTCATCCATCATCATCAAAGGATCACCCTAGAGAAGGAGATCCACCCCACAGGATGGAGGGGGGAGGATAAAGGGGGAAAGTTGGCAATCAAATCACTTCTTGTGTGTGTCCTTCTATGGCACCAAGGGATCAAGAAAAATTTACAATGAAAGGAACCCTCACAAAAATTTGGAGGCAACCAAATAAAAGTAGAACAAGAAGTAGATCCTGAAATGTCAGTTTTTATTAATGGCTCGAAGATACAGGGACTGAGGAATTCAGGAGTCAAATACTATCCTTCAAGGTCCAGCTTAGGTCCTATCTCCTTCACAAAACCATCCCTGATCTCCCCTGGCTGGCACAACAATCCTTTGAATTAATACTTTATATTCTTAAATGGTGTTGTTTTCCATTTTGCATTAGATATTAATCATGAATGAATGAATAAGTCAATATACTTCAGGATTCAGAGAATGGAAGAAGACTTAACTATTTAGTAATAGGGAAAAGCCAGACTCAAATGAGAATTCCTTACCTCATCATCTTGGTCTTTGGGGGGACCCTGGAGTGGTTTATATTCAGGATCTTCACAATCCTTATCAAAGTCAACCCTGAAATTACCCAGAAGCACAAGAAAATGTTAATGATATATCTTATATTACTAAGAGAAACCTAGGATGAAGACCTCGCCAAACATACAATCCAGCACGGAACAGCCTTTTCTTTCATGCTCATAGGAATGCCAGGCCAGGTGATAAGCTCCGGGCCAGTTAGGTACAGCATCCAATAAAACAAAAAACTGCAAGAAAGTGACTAAGTGCCACTTGAAATTGTTTGAAATTGAAATGGAACACTTCCTTTCTCTTATAGCTTTTTTTGGTTTAACCTTTTGTCCCCACTCACCACCACTATTATTATCACATTTGAATGGTTCATTCAAACATTCCTGTGTGTTTGTTTTTACTAGTTTGATCCACTGAACAGAAGGGTGACATAAATGATTTTATATACATAAATGATTTGCAATGAATAAACGACTCAGTTTCCTTTGAGGGATGTAAGTGAGTCCTACACTAAAGAAAGTGAGGTTGTGATCATCAAAGAGAAATCTCTTAATCGTGAAGGAGTGGGTATTTATAAAATAAGACAACCATTTCACATGCCCCTCAGGTCTCCACATGAGAAGTTTTGTTAAACTCACTGGCACCCAAACCAGGGCAATACTGCCCTACCTGGTGGCTCAGTATTAGCATGGCAATTCATCATCAGGGCATGTATCCAGGCAGAGTAAATGTCTTACATATCAGGCACCACTGGGAGAGGATAAACCAAGGCTAAAATTCCCTGAGGCTCTACCACATAAGCTGCATGGGAGAGCTGCCTGGCTGTCATCTTTCAAGAGTACCAGTTATCCCCTCAGCTAATGTGGCTATACAGAGAGCTCTATAAAACAAATTGAGTATAACACTAAACCAGCCATTTGGGAGTAACATTAACTTTCACCCTTAAATGCAGCTTATGGTAATGTGTGGTTTGGGCCAGTTTTTGGAGTCCTTTCTGTTGGTGCCACTCTATGTTAAGGATTTATCATTCATAATAAATAATAACCACCATTAAGAATCCCAGTGAGTTCTGTTAAAGCCTAGAGTTATGCTATCTTTTAGCACAGACAACCAGTGCCTTCATAGGGTGTACTCAGAGCTTTAAGAGATCTAAAACAATGCTTACCCTTCTACTATGTCAGAGAAGTTATCCAACACTCGATGTTCTGCTGCAATGGCTTTGTCATCTGGTCGGCCAGCCTTTTCCAGAAAGCATAAGGCTGGGTCTGCCCTCATGGTATTATATTTCTCATAACCTAGAAGAAAAAAGGCCACAGTTGAAGAAAATCAGAGACTTATTTTGTCTAGCTGAGTTTATGCTTACCTTCTATGCTGTTAGGATAATGAGATTATGTAGGCTACTTTGCCCATAATGCAAAATATAGTTCAAATGTTATATTACTGTTGGGTTACATTATTATATTTAACATTTTAATTATTAGAGTCACAGAGTTTTATACTAATAACCGAAAGGAATTCAATCTAAGAGTCTATACATCATAGTGAAAGATTTACACAGCCATTTAACTAATAATCTTTCTATTACCATTCCTATTTCACAGACGGGAAAACTAAAGAAGTCAAATAATTTAGGGCCAGGTCACAAATTTTCAGATGAAGGATAAGAAACTTGGACTGAGTGCAAGCAAGTAGGCACTCAGTGAATGTCAGATGAATGTTGAATGAATGAATGATGTTTAGACCCTTCTAAACCTCCCTCTCTGTCTCACAGGTAAATCTAAGACTACAAATGCTTTTTTCTAATCCCATTTAACTTTTGAAAACATGTGTCCTAAGTATCATAGAAGAAAAAAGATGTTCTAATTCACTGGTCTGGAAGTTAGCACTCACTTCTTTTAGTGCCTGGGATTTGTTATCAGGCAAAATTGCAAAGGAAGTATCTCCCTTTTATTATTTTATTTTTGTTTCACTCAAACACTGTTGTCCACACCTACGTCAGAGGGAGGGCTGAACATTTTAGACAAATGGAACGTCTAGATAAGTAGGAAACTTTCAGCAAGCCACACGAAAGTCATACAAATTAAGTGTGGCTACTATTAAGAAGAACAGGCATACCTTACCTCCCCTGATTTGTGGAATCTTAACTTAGACCCCATTACATACAGACTGGTAACAGCAACTGGAGAACAGATGGGAGGTTCCCTACCTCGGGTTTAACTATCCAGCTGGTCTTTCTTGAACATCTATTTATAGGAACTAACTGCTCTGCTCTGGAGATTTAAAATTTACTTTCATGCTCAAACATAAACTTATTAAAGATCAGTCAGAGGACTCAGTTACCAGTCACGACCATTTTGCTAAATATTCCATCTGTGGACATAAATCTTCACTAGGGAAGGAATAAGCTAGAAGATACTTACCATGCTTAAAAACTCCAATGAGCAGGGACTTGTCAGCCTCACTGTCCCACCATGCTGTTGGAACCTCCAGCTGATCCACTACTGGGAACCATATGTCAATCTCACTAAAGGTAGAAGAGGGCAGAGTCAGCACAGCAATGCAGGAAATTAAAAAATAATCTTTAGAAAGATTATTACAGGTATCTTCCTTTATCCACTGCTTTAAAAGCTCATGTAGCTGTCCTATTTCCTTCAACGGGTATAAAATAGAGTATTAAAGACTTGATAAATACACTTTAATTATCAGATGTCCCAAAGATAGTAAATAATGAAATAAGCAAACCAATCTTTCCTTGAATAAGGCAGGGTATAAATAAAAGTACCACATAACTTTACCTGGCAATGGCACCCCCCAACACCTTCTCTGCCTGGTCTCCAATAACCTCCTGCCTTAGGTAGTACAGCATTCGTACTCGCAACAGCACCCTGGAAGGGAGGAAGAGCTGGCTCAGTAACAATGCAGAAAGTCTGAGGCGGGAAATGTTTTCTTTAGTCTTTGCTAAACTCCATCCTTACTTATTACACTGATGTTTCAAATGCTTCTTATAACTCTCATCTTGGAACAGAGTGTCAGGGTTATATTTCCGAATCCAATCTGCCTTATGGATATCAAAAGTGCTTTGTGACTTTACTTTTTTCCCTTTGCGTCCACGGGGCACAGGGATAGACAGACCTGGGGAAGGGGAGACATCGAAGACTTGGATTGAGAAAAACTCTTGGACCTGAAAAGGATTATATAACCCATATAAAGATGAAAAGTAGTGAGTTGGTAATTACCTGAATGATTCTGCAATTCTTTTGTCTTGCCATTTTCAGCAGGGCTAATCAAGTCCCAAATAAAGCCTTTGATATTTTCATCCCCACGATAGTGTAGAAGACAGTACACAAGGATAGCCCGGCAAATTGTCTCCACATCTCGCTCAGTCATACGTCGCTTGAAGCGTCCATGAGACAAGATATCTCGCCACCGTCCCCAACTACAGAAATGAAGAAACCTACGTTAATACTTTTCTGGGGGCTCTAATTCAATGATGTCCTCCTGCCCTCCAAAATTACACCTCCCAAAAGGTGGGGGATAAATAGATCTTGGAAGAACAGGGTAACAGAATAAACACTCTCCAGAGCCAAAGTTGGTCACACTATCCCCTTTGGTCATAGGCTCCACGTTGAAAGCATACAGGGTATCTATAAGGAGGGAGATGCACTACCTCTGATTGCACATTAGGTTCTTACCCATATACCAGGAGGTGCTTTTCCACCCGAAAGCAGTCAGTGCGCCCATAGGCATGATGACGGTCATGTCGGCGGGAGCGAGGTCGTTCATCATCCTCACTTTCCAAATCAGAGAATTCCACCAGGTCATCATCTTTCAGAGTGCTGAAGTGACGGGTCTGTTTTCGTACTCTAGGTGTGTCAATCACCAAGTTATTCTATGCAGAAAACAGAAGAAGTAACTCTTTTCATGATATGGTCATGAGCAAGAACTTCAGACAATCATGGATTGAAATAGCCTTGAATGTGACATATTAAGATACCTAAAGAGATTATTTAGGACTTAAAACCTAACTTGCATCTTATTTTAAAACCTCAACTGAGCAAGCAGCCATCCAAGACAGGACAATTGAGCTCTGTTTGCCTGGAGCAATAGAGAAAGGAGGAGTCAGGAATAGGAGGAGGACGTGGAATTGCCTTCATGAACAACTGTCTCCTTTGCTATGAGACCAAAAGAACTGGATGGTGCCTGGCTACCATTACTCAACATTTTTGATCAAAGATTCTAAAGAAAAATTCTGATCAAAAGGGGGAAAATGTAGAACAGAATTTCAAATGTTCATGGACTCTAGACTTTATGGAGCCATGGAGGGTGGCTGAACCCCTGAAACTATTGCCCTGAGATAATCTTTAAAAATGAAACCAAAAATATCCCCTGAAGTCCTCTTAAAAAAACCAAACAACTATTTAGCTAAACTAGTTAAAAAAAAAAAAAAAAAAAAAAGCTTGAGCATTATGCTCTTTTAAGATCTATATGGGATCAAAGTGACAACAGCAACTCAAAAGATTAAACAGGAACCTTAGGAGGCAGTGAGTTTACATTAATGGGGAAGGAACAACTCAGAAAAGAAAGGTGAGAATGGTTGCACAACTTGAAGAATGTAATCAATGTCACTGAACCTGTACATGGAGAAACAGCTGAATTGGTGTATGTTTTGCTGTATATATTCTCAACAACATATTAAAAAAAAAACCTAAACTGACAGTTAAAACCGACACTATCACGCAAAATAATCTATAGGGATTCAAGAAGCAAAATTAAGTGAGAGATATCAAAGTAGTTTTCTGGGGTCTCCCATGTAGGAAGTTTCTACAACGGCTCTTGTATATACTACAGCAGCATAAACCAAGGTTAGCATGAGAAGAATCAAGAGTAGCTATAAAGACTCCGGGAAGCAGTTTGTCTTCTGTGATCCTTTCTTCCTAAAAGAAGAGTAAGCTCACCTTGCTATTGAGTAGATCCATGTCTAGGTCAGCCTTTTTGGCCCACTTCTGCCAAAAGTTAGGGTCATCCAGGGAAATATCTGTCCTATTTTCAGAAGCAACAAAGCTTGCCTATTGAGGAACAAAGGCACAGAGTGAAAGTGACCATAATACTTTTTAAAGCAATGGGAAATCAACAACTATGTTTTAAAAACGTATTTAAATCCTAGAATTCCTGTCCTACCTCTGCTTTTCTAGCCTATGGTACAAACAGAACATACCTTAGCAAAGGTAGAACCTTTTCCTTCAGACTCAATGGTAATGGTTGTAGTTCGTCTTAACAAGATCTGGTCAATGTCCTCTTCACAAAACTTGGAGCCTTCATCATCTTCCTCCATTATGGCTGCATAGGCTCCTTTTCTTAAGAGATCTTCAATCTCCTTCTTGGAGAATTGTTGGATCTGAATAAAACAATACAGAGACGACAAGAGTACTAAGAGAATATCTAATCATACCAAAATATTTTAGTTATTATATTTTAAGAAATAATAATTGAAAAAATAAACAAGGTATTCGGGTTCCTATGCAAAAACAGCTTTTGTCTTCCTCTATCACCATGCTCTGTTACAAAGGTTCTACAGACTAACACGACTCACTCCAGTAATGTTGCCATCCCGACCACTCATGGATTGAAGCACAGCCTTGTCCAATCCTAACTTGAGGCTAGCCTTATCAAACATCTCTCTCTCATAGGAGTTACGAGTGATGAGACGGTACACTTTCACAGCTTTGCTCTGCCCAATTCGATGACACCGTGCCTGGGCCTGGTAAAAAAAATGGAAGGGGAAGGGGAAAGTGAGAATATAAAATTAAGGGGGGAAAAAAGGACACAAAATAGCAATTCGCAATTCTTTCACATCTATAAGGCAATCAGTAGATCAACTCAAAACTAAAATAAAAAATCAGTTTCAAGATGAAATCATTGTCCCATCAAGCAGATCTGGGGCCAGCACACTATGCCGAGTGAGCACATCCATTTGTTTATGTACTGTCTGTAGCTGCTTTTGTGCCAAGAACAGAGGTGAGTAGTTGCAACAGAACCTGTATGGCCTGCAAAGCCTAAAATATTTACTATCTGATCCATTACAGAAAGTTTACTGGCCCTTGATCTAGACTGCCACCCTTCATTAAGTAAATAACTCCATACTCTCTGAAAGACAAGTCTTTCTAAGACATCCTGATTCTGTTGAAAAGATTCTGGTACCTTCCAGGTTAGGTAGTCCCTAAGACAATGATTTCCTTTACCTGCAGGTCATTTTGAGGATTCCAATCTGAATCAAAGATGATGCATGTATCAGCGGCTGTGAGATTAATACCAAGTCCACCAGCCCGGGTACATAGCAAGAAGACAAAGCGGTCTGAGTCAGGCTTACTGAAGCGGTCAATAGCAGCCTGTCGAAGGTTGCCTCTAACTCGCCCATCAATACGCTCATATAAATACCTGTATGGGAATCATAGAAGAAAAATTCAAGTGGCTAAGAAGCAGAGATCCAAAACAGCAAGCTAGGATTGTTATCAGTACCTCCATATCCCTAGTTGGCCAAAAATATCAGAAGGTTGAGTATGAGAGTTCTAAATACTTCTCTTATTCCAGTTCAGGGCTATAGTCAACTTCAATTAAACTCAGGGCCTCCACTCTCTACAGCTTAATGAGGATACAGTTAATCACAAGTCTACAGATGACTCTTTTCTCACCTCCTCTGGATTAGATAATCCTCTAGGATATCCAGGCAGCGTACCATCTGGGAGAAGATCAGAACCTTATGGCCACCAGCTTTAAGCTTTGGAAGTAACTTGTCAATAAGGACCAATTTGCCAGCTGAACGAACCATGGCCTGCAGGTGGAAGTCATGAGGTATAATATGGCAAGCTTCCCGAAATTCTGTTAGAATTTTTTCTTCTGCACCTGCCAAGAGAAAAATCAAGCCTGATGCTGAGACCCAGAGAAACATACTAAGGTTGTAGTTTATTTAAATTAGATAAGGAAGCAAAGGAAAATACAGTAATCTGACTTGAGATCAACGTTTCTTACACACAGAATTTCAGCACCAAGAAATCCTAAATCCTTTTCACTTGTGTTATCAAAATATGCCCAGTAAGGTAGGCCAAAGATTATCACTGGATAAAAAATATGTAAAAATGTAGACAAAAAATAGGAAGGAATATGCAAAGCACTATCACCACCCTACCTGCACTCAAAAGAAACAGCAAAATGGATTATCAGTGAGGACATTCATCCAGAGAACAGAATTCCCTTAGTTCTTGTTCATAAAATTCTAAGAAGCAATGTCTATTTAATTTGGAGATTATGCAGAACTATGGGGGTAGAAAGAACTTGAGGAAGACATTTCACTTAAGAATTTTTCTAAAAGGAGAACCCACCCCCTAAATTAGGCTGGATCAGTCGGAGCATCCATTATCCCGTGGAATATCATTTCAGAAAGTAAATACAGATAATTTAAAAATTCAGGAATTTTCCAGGAATTCTCTCACCATTGATGAGATATGGATGGTTGCAGCACTTGCGCAACTCCATCATTGTGTTGAGTAGATTAGGCATGTTGGTATGACCTGCCCCTTTGGAAAGGAAGGAGAAATTCTTTTCCAAAATAGCCCGGTAGTATTTCTTCTGGATGTTGGTCAGCTCTACTTCAATAATAGTTTCCTGTTTGGGTGCCAGGTTTTTTTCAACATCCTCTTTGAGTCTTCTCAGCATCATTGGCTTGAGAATAGCCTGTAGCTTTTGAACCTGTGTTCAACATAGAAGACATCAATAACATGGGAACCAACATTCCTATATTATGTGGAAACATAGAGAAATTAGAGTTTTCTAGTATCTGAGAAATGCAGACTTTGGACATGCCACAGATGATATAGGCACAAGGGTATAAGGCAGGTCAGAAAGGCTCTTGATGCATATGGCAATGGATGCCTGCCTCGTACAAACTTCAACCTTTTTTGTCCTGGGTTAGTACCTCACCAGATACACTTCCTACCTGTTCCTCTGTCTTAAGATCCCCAAAGTCCTTGAGGAACTCTGATTCTGAGGGAAACTGTGAAGGTTCCAAGAAATGAAGCAAGCTAAACAGCTCCTCCACAGTATTTTGCAAAGGAGTTCCTGTGAGTAGCACTTTATGTTCCTAGAAATGGAGAAAATAAAAGAATGGTAAAACTCAAAAACACAAAAGGATTTCTGGAGATTTTCCATCAATTATATAGTCTTTAGCTTTAATTTATCTGTAAAATGATGGGAATGGACCAGATTACTGTCTTATCTTTCACTTGCTCCCTCTTGTGATAAGCATAAAACATTTTCAAGACACCCTTCAGACATTAATGATTATAAGCAAATAAGGAAAGGGTAATTCAGATTATGTTTTTGTTTCTAATTATACATGCCTCTCCACACTCTACTCCCCATAGAAAGCCTAATATGTCTCCCTCTAGGGAATGTACCTGTGCTGGATTAAATATGGCCATTAATTCTTTGTAGCTCCTATCAAGGTTCACCCCTTGAATCTGGCCTTGCCTTGTTACTTGTTCTGAGAAAGAGAATGTAGCAGAAGTGATACTTCGTGAGTCCCACAGCCTAACCCTAAGAAGCCTTGCAGCTTTCACTTTTACCCTCTGGGAGCACTGCCCCAAGACTACCATGGAAAGAAGCCCAGTCTGGTCCAGTGGAGGATGAGAAGCCACGTGGAAGATAATCCAGGTGCCCCAGCCAATAACGAGCACCAACTATCAGCGGCAGTCATTAATGATCCCAGGCAAGACGGTCAGAAAAATGGCCTAGCAGAGCCCAGTCTAAGTTGCTTAGCTAGAAAATCATGAAAAATAACAGCTATTGTTTTAAGTCACTAAAGTTTTGGGGTATTTTGTTATGCAGCATTAAGTAACTCATAACCCCACCTCTCCACTTGATTGAGAACCACTAAACTATAATTCCTTTCCAATTCTAAAATTTATGACTTTTACATGACTTTCAGGTTACCATTCCGATAGGCCATACCCACCACCCGATAGAAAGATTCTGATTCTTTTTCCTTCTTTGCTAAATATGAGTTATTTTAATTCCACAGAGAATTGGAGTTATTTGAATTCCAAGTTTCTGCCCACAAGTCAGTGTGGAGAACTCACCAGGTCCATGTGCTTGAGACTATCAAGCAGCTTGCAATTACGGTTCTTAAGTCGATGGGCTTCATCAATGATGACACAACGCCACTCAATTTCACGGAGCTCAGGGCAGTCTGACAAAATCATCTCAAAAGTGGTGATCAGGGCATCAAATTTGTATGCGCCTGGGATGAGGCGCCCCTAGGCATGAAGGCAGTAAAGTCAGAAAAGGCCTAAAATGTACCTAAACGAGCAGGTCTTCTGAATTACCCATTCTCTTTTCTACATTCAGGCAGGTGCAAGTTTAATAGAAAATATAAGCCGCATCCCACCCCTACTACCTATCTTCCTGACACTGCCAAATCACTGAATGTAAGATACATTGCTTCTTCAACATATTCAGCTTCTTAGGAAAATGACAGACCTTACAGGATGAAGCTACGAATTTTTGACCCTGCTATATAACCAGCTCGTGTACCTCTGCCCTAGATCGTTTGTTAGTTAACATTAAAGTCCACAAAGGTTGGGCATGGTTGAAACATACAAGACAAAAATAAAAATGAAAATAGCTAATAAAGTACATGCTACTATTAATTCCTATCTAAAAACTGACAGAAGTAAAATTAACAAAATTGAGAGCCACAAAATATGATCTGAGAAAACATGGCTTAGCAGAAATAAAAACTTTAAAAAAAATAATTCATAAATTCAATGTTGATAAAAAGATTGATTATTCCAATTTTTGTTTTCAAGTTTACACAGAAGGAACTGATATTGGTGAAAATTTTCACCACACTAAAGAAAAGAAGATAAAAGAAAAGGTTTAAGGTCACCACCATATAGGGAGAATTGATCAAGGAATTAAAAATGGCTAAATGAATTTTGTTCTAGAAAATACCTTCTTGATGAAAACTCACTAATGATGCTAAAATTCTATTAAAATGTATGTATTCACAAATACAGAATTTCCACTGGATCAAAATGTCCACTGGGTGAAAACAGCAAAATCAAAAGCCGGTACACTGCTGCACAAAAATGCATTAAATCACAGGGAGCTTTTATTCCTATGTAGGCTGTAAAATCCCAGGTACCTTGGCCCACTTTCCCTAAACCATAGCATTCCTAAGATGTACAACTCACCCGTGAATCTTTGCAGTACATTTCATATTGCTGAATCATCTGCCTGCTGGCCAGACTGCCATGGTACACAATGGTGTTCATCTCTGTCCACGTATTGAATTCACGCTCCCAGTTAGTAATTGTGGACAATGGGGCAATGACTAGGAAGGGGCCATGGATGCCCACATTATATACCTCCTGTAAGAAGGCAATGGACTGAATAGTTTTGCCCAATCCCATCTCATCAGCCAAGATGCAGTTCTGCCTGCAGATTCATCACAGAGAAAAAAAGGCATGTTAAAAGAAACCATCTTGAAAAAAATCCCTAGACTGAGCCTGTATCTTACGGATCCACTTTTTTCCTCACCTGTTATACCAATTAAAAAGCAGCCAGTTGACCCCTTCTAGCTGATATTCCCGTAACTGGTTTCTGTTTTTATACTCATGTGACAGCTCCAACTTCTTCCAGGCACTTGCCTGTGGACGATTCTAAAAAATACAAAATTCAAATAAACAGGGTGGAGACATGAGAAAAATAAGGCAAGACTTGCTAGATAATTCTAGCAGTGGAAGTTAAATTCAAAAATATTATTGTATGGATTAAACCATATCAAATATATTTATACTCATGAGTTCATAATGATACTTTTTAAAAAAAAAAAGAGTAAAAGAAAAAACCCACTGGTTACTTCTGAAGAATGCTAGGGAACTACTTCATTATTTTGAAAACTGGCATATAAAGGAAAAAAATAAAGCATTTATCCTCCTTTCCTATATAATCTGTATCTCAGAGTAATCAAGTAGTAGATGAAAGGGAGTTTCTTTTTAGAGTCTAGCTAATAAATAAATGATAAAATTAGAATATCATCACTCTAAAATCTTTAAAGAATAGATCTAGGCAATGATCCTAAATGACTGATAACACTACAAAAGACAACCTGATGGAAGAACACACCACCACCTATAAAGCAGATTTACCATCCCTTCTCCCCTATATGATCAAGTCTCTAGAAAAGTGCTGTCTAACAGAACTTTCTACAATGATAGAAATGTTTTATATCTGCCACTAGCTACATGCAGCTATTGAGCACTTCAAATGAAGCTAATGTGACTAAGGAACTATTAATTTAAAGTTAAACAACCATAATGTGGCTAGTACCTACTGTACTGAACAGCACAGGGCTAAAAAGTTTTATCAGAAAGTGCTGTGCTAGATCTAACAGTAAATGTGAAATATAAAGAAAAGAGAACACGTTAAAAGGTACAAAGTACCTTTTACAATCAGTAAAATCCAGACTGTGGAAAATGCCACAGACTAAATCACCCGGTTTCTTCAAGAGAAAATTGCAAAGAAGGAAAAGAGAGAAAGATGGAGGGGAAGCTATAATTAAGAGCAACTTCAGATATATTAACTAATAACAATACATGGAGCTCATTTAAATCTCAATTCAAATAATGTTTTAAAAATTAGAAGACAATCAGGGAATGCATATAGTGACTGGATATTGGATGACATTAAGGATTTTTAATATTTTTTCAGGTGCAATAATGGTATTATTTATGCTTTAGAGATAATCAAAACCAAACCAAATCTGTTGCTGTCAAGTCAATTCCAATTCATAGCAATCCTACAGGACAGAGTAGAACTGTCCCATAGGGTTTCCAAGGAGCAGCTGGTGGATTCAAACTGCCGACCTTTTGGTTAGCAGCTGAACTCTTAACCACTGTGCGGAGACAGACACTACAATCAATATTCACAGATGAAATAAAGGAATCTGGAGTTTGCTTTAAAATAACTTGGGAAATAGGGGAATGAGTGAGTAGAGAAATACATGAAACAAGATGGCTATGTATTGATAATTATGAAAGCTCGGTGATGGGGACATTGTACGTATTATACTACCTTTTCAACTTTTGTGTATGTTCGAAAATTTCCATAATAAAAAGCTAAAAAACAATAAAAGCTTCTATGAGGAAAAAATCAATCACTGCTTATAGGACTTACATGCTCTAAATGCAAATGTACTTACCACCCTTTTGAGTTCTGGGTGCCTTGACTGGATCCGTTTAAATTCTCGAATCTTGCCCTCATCAACATCTTCTTTCAACTCCCATGTACTATCCTCATATGGCAAAGAGCACCATTTCACTAGGTAGTAAATTACAGGCTAGGAGAGAAGAAGCCAAAGCATTAATAAACTAATTCTACGTTCTCTGCTGTGGATAAAGGACAAGAATTTGACTACAGAATCAGATCACAGCTGTCAATGCTTCAAAGCTGCTGAAAAAGTCAAGCTGAACACACATATCATAGGCTCACCTGCTGATGTACCACTATTTGTGGCTTTGCTCATTCTTCCATGCAACTTGTTAGTAGAATCTGTTCTAAAAGACAACTTTCTATCCAGTAGTTTCTGGAACACTGAGCACTAAAACATTATGCTCATCAAAGAAGCAAAATGCAAAAAAAAAATTTCGTTTCCTATATTGTGTTGCCTGTTGAATTTGGCTAAGGGTGTAGGAGCATAGCACAGCTGACATCTCTGGGCTTCTGGATTCTTGGGGCTCAGAGTACAGACGCTCCTTCAAGAGCAGTCAGATGGTGGTAAGGATTTTCCTTGCAAGCCCCATGGAGCTAGGAGATAACTACAAGAAGTATCACTGAAGAGAGGTAACAAAAGTGAAAAAAAAGGGCAAATGCTGAAGCTCCAACTGCAGTACTATGCTTTATGGAGGCCTTTTACTTCAAGGGAAGGGGCAGTGACCAGGAGTAAAATGGTTCCCAGTCTCACTATTCAAGATGATCTCTACATTTCCATTGTTTGTTCAAATAAAGCAGGATTAGACTGGGCCTACTGTAATCGACAGGGATTTCTAATTATTATAGAATTCCCCTTAAAGAGCTAGCAAGAAATTTGAAAACAGAAGTGTCTCCAGAAAGTCACAGATCAAGATATCTCTAGAATTAATCTAGTTGCTCTTTTACGCTTTTCTGTATTGTAGCACCTCAGGTCACCCTCTCTGTAAAGTCCTTTGTCTAGGTCACGCATTTCCAGCATCATAACTTACTTTTCCAAAGACCTCACTACTTATTTTATTTATTTCCACTAAAGGGTAATGTTAAAAGGATGATAAATTAAACTCATTTTTCAGGGGGGAAAGTCAGTACACAGAATATTATCATCTGATATTGGGAGCACAAACTAGGGTACCAAAACATTTTCATCTGTCATGCCAGTTGCAGAACACATCCTCAAAGGACCTAACCAAAAGCCAACTGATTTTGGAAGGATGAGTACTGTGGTAGAGAGAATACGATAAGAGGCTGAGAAGGTTGAGATCCTAAACCTGACGAGAAAAATTTAACAGTAACTACCCAGGCCTGACTAATAGCTGGCCCATTCTCTACTCACCTCTCACAAATGAAAAACAAACAATAATGTCCACAACCAACACACACACAAAAAAACAGCACATGTGTTATCTGAGGCATAATTGCTAGGATTTGAAGATACACTGAATTATAGTAGGCTCTGGACACCTAGGTTCTAAGTGATCTTGAAGGTTATAAAATAGAGAAAACTTCGTAATTTTATAGAGTGAAGAATCTGACTCTAGGTCCTGTGAGGATGATGTGTGGGAGCAAGTCACTTCGCTTGTGAGTGAGCTCAGGTCATCACCCAGCACTGCCATCTAAACAAGGTTCTGTCCTTCTCTACTGGTCCACTGTGTAAGAAGTAACTTTCAGAAGTGACAGAAACTTTGTATATGAAATACAGCACTGCAAAAGTAAACCAACAACTACTAGTTGAAGTAAAAAGTTTTAAGAATGGTGGTTCATAACCTAAGTATAAGTTTGAAGTAAATTTAAAAGAGAGAATATTGCATTCACTAGCAGCTCAGACCCGTGATAGCGCTCTATTTAGAAAAATTTAGAACGTGAACTGTGAAAATGTATCAACAAGTGTTCTAGCATATATAAAAACCTGCTCCCCAGTCAAAGAAAGCTTTAGTCCAGTGATTCCCAAATCAAGCTATTCACAAGAACTCGCTGGGGACCAACTTAAAAATACGGAACTTTGGATCTCACCCTAGACCTAGTGAATTTGAATCGGTGGGAGTGATGCCTCAAAATCTGTTACAAGTACAGATTCAAATGCAGTGGATCTGCTTTAATGACAACTGAAAAGACATTTAACAGATGAGTTCAGCAAATACCCAATTCTCAATGAGATGTGGAGAATGCTAGGAGCCAGTTACAGTGACTTATTTATAAACATATTTGGAGATTTGTGAAGTTTCCCTACCCCCTGCCCACCTTCAATTGAATGTGAAGGGTCTCCCATATAAAAGTGGGAGAAAATGAAACCGAGGTAAATAACTTTTCAGTACTTATAAATATAGCTCTATGATGTCTGGCTTTATGGGAATCTTTCCTTTTAGCCTCTCTCCCTACTCCTCTACCTTCCCAATATCATTCTATGGATCCCACAGAAAAGTTCAAAAATATCTTTTCAGTCCCAGGGATTTTTCAGCCATACCTGAAAAATAAAGTATAGGCACGTAGACCAGCAGAGTTCTCTCATATTCTTCCATGCCCCAACTCACCTCCCCGTTGTCCTTGTCAATACTGTGAGACTCATCCAATATCCTATCCACTTCTACATAGTCTGGATTGAAGGGCTCTTCATCCTAAATGAGTCATGAAATCAAACAATAAGCCCAAAAGATCACTGTCCAGCATACCTGCCCTCCATGCCACCTTTAGCTGATGACCCAACTTCACAATTTATTATGAAAACAGAAGTTATTGGATGGGAGTTCCCATTTTCCTAATATCAAATCCTACAAACTTACCTGGGTCTGCACCCATCTTCTTACCTGTTACCAGAGAGAAAGTGTCTCTTCTCCCTAACAGAACATTCTCTCCACATGTGCTCTGGATTCATTCTCTTGTCACCTTCTAAGGAATCCTTTTCTACTGGATCATTCCCATGAACATACAAAAATGCTCTACTATTACACATCTTAAAAAAGACCTCTCTTGACTCTATATCCCTCTGTAACTCTCTGCTCTGCTTCATACCCAAACTTTTCCAAGAATTTTAAACGCATGCTATTTCCATTTCATCACCTCCCTTTCACTCATCCATTAATTCCAATCTGTACATTTCCATCACACAACTAAAACTACTATTCTCAAGGTCACTGATGATCTCTAAATTGCTGAATTTAATGGACAACATTCAACAATTCATCACTCCCTCCTTAAAGCACTCCCTTCCCCTGGCTGTCTGAGATGCCATATTCTCTTGGTCCTCTCATACTTATGGTTTGTTTTTAGTTTTGGCCAGTTCTTCTCAATCCGCTCCACTGGCTCTTTTTCTTCTAAGTCAATGGTATCCAGCTTTGGGTAGTATCACTGGATAAAGGACGCAAGGCTCCAAAAAAAAACCTCAAAGAAACCTTGGGGAAAAAACTCTTCCTTTTCTTCCTTTTTAAGACATTCCTTTCCCTTGGTTTCTGTAATATTTCTTTTTCCTAATCTTTGTTCTACCACTCTGGCATATACTCCTTTCTCAGTCTCTTTCACCAACTTCTTTTACTCCACCTGAACTCTAAATTTGAGGGAATTCCTCAAGGCTTGGTCCAAGGCTCACGCTCATTCTCTTTTTATCCTTTCTCCCCAGGTGACTTTATTCATTCTTAAGGCTTTAATAACTATTTATAACACTAATAAATTCCAGTCTGAACAGTCTAGATTTAAAAACCCATCTCGCTTACTACACATTTATTAAGGAATTTTAAAGTTAACATGGTCCAAACTAAATTCTTGACTTCACTCAAATCAGTTGCTTCCAAAATCTTCCACATTTCAATAAACGATCCCACCTCTACCCATTTGCTCAGACCAGAAACCATTCTATCCAACCTGTCACACCAAGCCATCAGTTCTACTTCAAAATAAATTCCAAATCCATCCATTCTCTCTATCCACTAAAACTACCCGAGTTCAAGCCACAGCAATCTCTTATCTGGAAAACTCCAACTGCCTCCTTACTGGTCACCCTATCTCTATGCGTACTCTTCTCTAATCTGTTCTCCAAAATCCAGATGATCTTTTAAATGTGAAAACTGGACTAGGTCTCTGGCCTGTTTTATATCATTCAATGGTTTCCTTTTGCATTTAGAATAAAAACCAAACTAAAACCAAACTGTTAAGGGCCTAAGGACCTGCTTATCTAATTTTTTACCTCATCTTGGACCATTCACTCTCTAAGATGTTATACATCAATTGCACTGTCTTTCTTTCAGTTCTCGTCCTGTCAGGGCCTTCACACATGGTACTCCCTATGCCATGAACAAGCAAATATCATCTACTTGTGTTCTTGGCCTTACTAACTCCTATTCATAATTTAGTTCTCAGGAGAAACGACAGTTGTTAGAGAAGCCTTTCCTAAGTATCCAACATGAAGTAGGTATTTCTTCTTTGTCATCTTCTTTTTCCTTGTCGCCACTTGTATAACAATTTAACTTACTTTTTAAAATATGTTTCTTCTCAATTAGACAGTGAACTACATTAGCAGTGACCAGGTCTGTCCTGTTTACCATGATACGTAGCAAGTAATAAATGATGAATAAATTAATGACTGACTTGATTAAACGGCCTACATATTAAGGCAGATTTAACTGGCATATGAATTAGTTACTAGAGCTCAGATTGATGGCCAGAAATTGTACACATAATCGCAGGTGGAATGGAATTAGTTTCATTGTACATTTCAATACTAGACTTTAAAAGAACAGACAAAAAAATGCAAACCAATTATTATTTTCATATAAAAAGAAACCAGAAAACCTACATGTTCCTAAATAATTCATTTATTGGCAAATCAGTTCTATTTAGCTATAACTGTTATTTGCTAAAACTACAAATTAGTCCTTTTCTCTCTCTCTTACCTTTTCTCCTTTAGCTCTAAGAAGCTTTAAAAAATAATCCTTTTCCTCAAAGTTGTTACATACTGAACTGTGTCCCCCAAAAATATGTGTTGTGAATCCTAACTTCTATGCCTGTGGTTATAATCCCATTTGTGAATGGGTTCTTTCTGTAATGTTAATGAGACAGGATTAGTGTAGACTGTGTCTTGAGTCAATCTCTTTTGAGATACAAAAGAGATTAAACAAGCAAGCAAACAAGAGAGATGGGGAAAGATGGATGCCAAGACACATGGAGATCTCCAAGGAACTGAAGAGACAAGGACCTTCCTCCAGAGCAGAGAGAGAAAGCCTTCTCCTTGAGCCAGAGCTCTGAATTTGGACTTCTAGCCACCTAAAATGTGAGAAAATAAATTTCTGCTCATTAAAGACATCCACTTGTGGTATTTCTGTTATAGCGGCACTAGACGACTAAGATAGAATTTGGTACTGAGAGTGGGGTTGTTGATCTAACAAATACCTACAATGTGGAAGTGGTTTTGGAATTGGGTAATGGGTGGTGGGTGGAAGAGTTTTAAGGTGCCTAATATTGCTGAAGATAATTCAAAAATGGTTGCAGCAGTACATCAACAGGGAACTGCCAGAAACTCAAGCCAGTTCAGAAGAGGTGGAATGAGGGATATCACTGCTGATGTCAGATGGATCTTGGCTGAAAGCAGAGAATACCAGAAAAATGTTTACCTGTGTTTAACTGACTATGCAAAGGCATTTGACTGTGTGGATCATTACAAATTATGGATAACACTGTGAGAATGAGAATGAAAATTCCAGAACACTTAATTATGTTCATTCTGGAACCTGTATATAGACCAAAGAGATAATAGTTTAAGATCAGAAAAGGTGTTCATCAGGGTTGCATCCTTTCACCATACTTATTCAATCTGTATGATGAACAAATAATCCCAGAATCTGGGCTGTATGGAGAACGTGGCAACAGGGTTGGAGGAAGACTCATTAACAACCTGTGACATGCAGAGACACACCTTGCTTGCTGAAAGTGAAGAGGGCTTGAAGCACTTACTGATGAAAATCAAAGCCTACAGCCTTCAGTATGGATTACACCTGAACATAAAAAAAAAACAAAAATCCTCACAACTGGACCAGTACACAACATTATGATAAATGAAGAAAATATTGAAGTTGTCAAAGATTTCATTTTACTTAGATCAACGATCAAAGAACACCCATGGAAGCAGCAGTCAAGAAATCAAATGACGTATTGCATTGGGCAAATCTGTTGCAAAAGATCTCTCTCAAGTGTTAAAAAAGCAAAGATGTCACTTTGAGAACTAAGGTATGCCATGGTATTTTCAATTGCCTCATATGCGTGCAAAAGCTGCACAATGAATAAGGAAGACCAAAAAATTGATGCCTTTGAATTATAGTGATGGTAAAAGAATACTGAATATACCACGGACTGCCAGAAGAACAAACAAATCTGTCTTGGAAGAAGTATGGCCAGAATGGTCTTTAGAAGCAAGGATGGCGAGACTTTGTCTCATGTACTTTGGACATGTTATCAGGAGGGACCAGTCCCTGGAGAAGCACATCATGCTTGGTAAAGTGAGACTCATCGAAAAAGAAGACTGTCAACGAGATGGATTGACAGAGTCACTGCAACAATGGGCTCAAACACAGGCAATGACAGTGAGAACGATGCAGGACCAGGCAGTGTTTTGTTTTGTTGTACGTAGGGTTGCTGAGTCGGAACTGACTTGACAGCACTTAACAACAATGACAATAGTAAAATCCTAGACTGCCTTGAAGAGAATGTTGGTAGAATTATGGATGTCAAAGGCAATTCTGGTGAGGGTTCAGAAGGAAGTGGGGAAAGCTATAGAGAAAGTATCATCTTAGAGAATACATATGGCGCCAGCAACAGAATGTTGCTAGAAATGTGGACGTTAAATGTGCTCTGGTGAGGCTTTAAAAGAAAATAATGAACATGTAATTGGACAATGGAGAAAGAGTGATGCTTTTTATGCTGTAGCATAAGAACTTGTCTGAATTATGTTCAAATGTGTGGTGGAAGGTAGAACTTGTAAGTGATTAACTTGGGCGATCTGGCTGAGGAGATTTCTAAGCAAGACCTTAAACGGGCGATGTGGTTTTTCCCTACTACTTTATAGTAAAATGTGAAAGAGATGTACTTAAATATGAACTGTGCAAAATGAAAACAAAAAAGATTTGCAAAATTCTGTTGCAGAAAATAAAGACTTGTGTCCTAGAATGTTCACCAAAGATGTGGCTACGCAGTATTTTGTTAAAGAGATTAAGCCTGTGACTGATGGATCTAACCAACTACCACAACAGAAGACCCATCAGCTTAGACTGAAGGGGACAGAGAAAAAACGAAAGATCACTGCCTGCCTCTTAGAATTCTACAGGCTGGAAACAGGCCAAAGGAGCTGTATCTGTTGTCCTCCAAAAAAAGAAAAAAACTATCCCTGGAGCAGCTCAGAGATCAGCAGAACTGCTGGAAGGAGCACATGAAGAAGGGCTGCCTTGATTGCAAAGACTGGAACCACTGCCTGTGGGGTGTCAAAGGGTGAGGCCATGACCTCCTAGGTTTCAAAGGGACAGATCTTCACCAACTCAGTTTTGGAGTGTGGGGTTACCGTTCTCTAGTGCCAAGGGGATGGGACCGCTGCCCGAAGCTGAGGGGGCAGGACTACCATGCCCAAAGGGCAGAAGAATGGGACCTGCCAGGGCAGAGGGAGTGAGGTCTCCACTCAGATGGACTAGGAGAATGGGGCCACCCAAAGCCAAGGTGACAGAGATGCTGCCACAGGGGGCCTGGAAGGTGGAGCTGAAGCACAGGGTTGGGGGTCTCTACTCCAAATCCAGAGGGCATGGCCAACACCCACAGTCTAGAGGGCAGAGCCCTTGCCCAGATGGACCCAAAGAATGGAGGATTATTCTCAAGCTTTGAGAGTTAATGTAAATTGTTCTGCTGGGTTTTGGACTTCCTTGGTACCCATTACCCTTCTTTCCTTCCAGTTTCTCCCATTTGTAATGGAAATGTCTACCATTCTGCCTGTTCCACCATTGTACTTGGGAAACAGATAACTTGTAGCCTAGATTTCACAGGTTCACAGATGAAGAGGAATTTTACCCCAGGATGGAATACACCTAAAGTCTTGCCTGTACTTGATTTAGATGATTTAGAAGATAAGATTTTGAACTTGCAGTTGACTTAAGACTTCTGCGATAATGTAATAGGGTAAATGTGTTTTGCATGTGGGGATGTTTTTGGGGGGCCAAAGGATAGAATGTTACAGATTGAACTGTGTCCCCCAAAATGTAAATCCTAACGTCTACGTCTATGGTTATAATCCCGTTTGAGAATGGGTTGTCTTTGTAATGTTAATGAGACAGAATTGGTGCAGGGTGTGTCTTCACTCAATCTGTTTTGAGATATAAGAGATTAAACAAGCAAGCAAACAGGAGACATGGGGAAAGATGGATGCCAAGACACATGGAGATCTCCAAGGAACCAGAAAGAAGAAGCTGAAGAGACAAGGACCTTCCTCCAGAGCCAACAGAGAGAGGAAGCCTTCCCCACAAGCCAGCGCTCTGAATTTGGACTTCTAGCCTCCTAAACTGTGAGAAAACAAATTTGTTTGTTAAAGCCATCCACTCGTGGTACTTCTGTTATATAGCATCACTAGATGACTAAGACAAAGTACGTTGTACAATGTATAGAACAAAGATGAGAAATCCCAGAGTTTGGCAAAGGGATATGTACACAAAACCTTCAAAGTAAAATGAATGGGAAACTAAAATAAGGCTCAAGAGACCCTCACACAGGCTCAGTGTTTAACCAGCAGTTAACACTGGATATAGGAGCACTGGTCACACAGTGGTTAAGCTCTCAGCTGTTAACTGAAACGTCAACTGTTCAAACCCACCAGCCACTCTGTGGGAGAAAGATGTGGCAGTCTGCTTCCTAAAGATCACAGCCTTTGAAACTCCATGGGGCAGTTCTGGGTCGCTATGAGTTAGAACCGACTCAACGGCAATGGGTAACATTGGATATAGGAAATTAAACTTCATTATTGCTATTCCTAGTGATAATGGATTAGAAATTTTAAGGAAATAAACGTTCACTTATTGACATGTTTGCTTATGTATCTAGACATCATCAACAGCTAAAGACTGACAATGGAGGGAGACGAACGCCTCAACTCAACTAGAGGTCAGTTCATCATCCGTTTTGAAAATACTTCATGCATCTTGAGCAAGTCAATTTCAAAATACCCTGTAACTTATAAAAGAACCACATTTAAACCTGGGAAAAGCATGGGACAAATAAATAAGTCCAATGATCAAAATCAAACCCTTATACCCATATACGCAAATAAACTATGTGTTTTGAAGAATCGAAGTTAACAACCCCAGTGATACTTGCTTCTATGAATGAAATGATAGGTAATATCTATTCCTAATTACCTCATGGAAGAAGTGTCTCATTTGAGCCATTTTGGTTTTGAAGCGCTTTAGTTTTTGATGGATCCTCTTATCCTTCTCTAGCTGGGAGATAGTAGCCCACTCACAGTGCAGGTAGGAGCTGAAGGGGATGGAAATACCCAGTTATGCAGTGAGAAAGGGGGAAATGGCAGGCTAGTGTTTGAGATTTTGGGATTAGCCAGATGCAGACAGTGCTTAGGCCAGCTGCCAGTGCTTTCTTAACTTTAATTTGCACAAAAATTACCTGGTCTGGGGTGGGCTTAATTAACAGTTCACATTTCCAACAAGCACACAAATGATGCTATTTGTGCTGGTCCAAAGACTACACTATGAATAGCAAAGTCTTAATGCTAGAGTAAGGAATAGAGTTCACAAGAGATTTCATCAGAAACCACACTAACCCCACCTTCCTGCAGGGAAACAGTAAAAGTCATGTCAATTTCTGAACATCTCTCTGAACAGCCAATTTCTCTGCTAAAAACAGCAATTTGGGCTAGGAGATTAAATAAAAAAGGGGCACATTCCCAACCAGTGGAGTTTGGGGTAACAAGCTTTTTGCACAGATCACATACTAGTTCTTGTACTTGACAAAGAATTCTTCTGCTTCAGTATACTGTCCTGAAGGAAGCTGAGAAGAAAGAAACAAATCATAGTCACTAATCCCGTATCTGTCAAAGAAAGAACTTTTAATTTTAATCACACAAGGCAGAATTTCATATCCAAAATTCCCTGAAGATATTATTGACTGAGGAATTAAAGAACTAATCTGGTATCTTTATACTAGAAGTCTGATAGCTAGAGAAAATAAACTTTTACCCAGTCTAAACAGATAGATGAGAGAAGAGGCAATACGAGAGTTCCTATTTTCTAGCTAATCTTCCTTCACTATCTCTTATAACTACACCCTAGCAATATATCCTAACATCCAAAGGTACTCATTAAATAAGGCCTCAAAATGTAGCATTACGGGCTAATATCAAACATAGAGGCCTTACCTCCTTCTTCACAACCCTCATAGAAAGCACTTTGTCTACAATGGCTGCATCTTCTTCACTGGGATTCTCCTACAGGAAAAGATGCAATCAGTCAATAGATGATTATGAGCATCAGGACAAACTTCTCAAATTGCTTACATTCTCACTTACCACAAAGAACTGCATAGAAGGCAGAGTCTCGCCATCTGGTTCCTGCACTGGTTCAGGGAGGATAGGCTCAAGTTTTATTGGACCAGTTACATCCACCTCTTCTTCTTCTTCATCATCTGTGATCTTTATATCCAGATCCTCTGTATATTTTTTTCGCTTTACTTGGCGATTTGACCGTCTCTTCTGCAGAGGCAAAAAATGGTTAAAATAACTGCTTAGGTCTCTCAAACAGAAAACTTGGTACAAGAGTTTCTAAGCAAATCTTTCATTTTCTCCCCATGTTGCAAAGGACTACTGAACTCTACATCTTTCACAATGATGTGTCTAATGAAATGATAGCCTTTAAAAAGTGTTCATTTCCTTCGATCTAATAATATTACCTCTACAAAGGCTGATGCACAATGGGGTTAATGTCAACATTATTTATAATAAAGGCAAAACTAGAATCTAGCTAAATAAATAACAAGAGAAGAATTAAGAAATTATGGCTCAGCAATAGTAAAATTAAATAATTTTTAAAATTCATAGCATTTGGAATAAAATAGGAAAATGCCTTCTATAACAGAAGTAGTCACAAACATGGAATATGGTCTTAATATCGTAAAAAGAAAAAGTACACACGTAAAGCTACACACACACATGCACACACAGAAAGGAAGCCTGGAAGGAACTATAACAAAATCTTAACAATGAATTATAAAACTATTACGGGCACTTCGTCTTCTCTATACTTATCTTCCGAATTTTCCTAATCAGAGAGCATTAATTTTATATTTAAAAAAAATTATGCAAAAATTCAGGCCAATTATTATTATATATAGCTTTATGATTAAAACTATTTGCCTATAGTCAAATGCTTAGATTTTACTCCAAAAGTCCCATGGAAAAAAATCAAACTAAGTAACAACGAGCTTATTAAACATACTTCCCAAACCAAGTTAAGTCATTCTACTACTGAACATATATTAATTTGCTGAAGTGGTTTATCAAAGGCAAGGAACCCACCTGACAGAAAACTGCAAACTAGAAGCCAGAAGCAAGAAGCTGTGGGAAATTTAAACATGGCTCTCAGCCTGCCAGTGCAATGTACTTGCACATCAGGAGCAAAAGTGCAGAGATACTTTATTTCTAATGTTGTTTTTGTTTTTTTAGTTCTAAAGATTTTTTGTTTTAATAAATGGATACATACTATATGTATTGTTCTGCAGCTCACTTTTTAATTAACAGTATTTGTTATAGAAGTTTTCCATATCACTACATTACAGAGCTACCTGATTCTTTTAAGTGGTTGAGTAAAAACATTTTTTAACTAAGTAATTTAAGTAACACTTGCAGCTCATGATAAAACTTGGGAAGGTGGGAGAGAGAAAATTATTTTTTAATCATGGCTGTATCCATGGAAAACCCAAGAGAATCAAATGAGTGTTATTAGAAGAACTACTAAAATAGGGTAAAATTGCTTGGTATAAAATTAATTTTTGAAAATCAATACCATTCCTATCCAGTCAGCCATAAAATATAATGAAAGATCCAATTTATGAAAAAACAATTAATTATCTAAGGGATTAAATTTAATAAGAAATACATAAAATCTATTTAAAACATTATGTTGTTGGCTGTCGTAGAGTCAGCCCTTAACTCATGACAACCCCATGCACAAGGGAACAAAATTCTGCCTGGTCCTGAAGCATCCCCATGATCAGTTGCTGATCCGACTGTTTTGATCCATAGGGTTTTCACTGGCTGATTTTTGGAAGTAGACGGCCAGTCCTTTCTTCCTAGTCTGTCTTAGTCTGGAAGCTCTGCTGAAACCTGTTCAGTATCAAGCAACACACAACCCTCCACTGACAGATGGGTGGTGGCTGCACATGAGGGGCACTGGCTAGGAATCAAACCCACATCTCTTGCACGGAAGGTGAGAAATCTACCACTGAACCACCATGGCCCTCTTTTAAAACGCTACAAGAGGACACAAAGGAAGAGGAATAAATGGTAAAATAGACTGTTCTGGAATAGTAAGACTTGATTCTAATTACACAGACTTGACAAAACAAAATCAACATTTTTTTTAAAAAGATAAGCTGATTCTAAAAATTCAAACGCAAAAATAAACATCTAAGAATAATCAGGAAAAATCTGAAAAAAGTACACTGGGCCTTACCAGATATTAAGGACAATTTACAGCTATACAATTAACACAGCTTGGTATCTCACTAAAAAGAAATATAAACGTCAATGAAATAGTGTTCAAATATAGACTAAAATATTTATGTGCATTTAGAACATGATAAAAATAGCACCTCTAATCAGTGAGGAAAAGGTAGATTATTCTCTAAGTGGGATTGGAAACAACCGGCTACCCATCCAGGGGTGGAAAAAAAAAATTCTAAAAGGATCAAAGATTTAAATGTAAGAAAAAGTCACCGTAAAATTTCTAGAAGAAAATGTGGAAGAATTTTTTATAATCCTGGATTTTTTTTGCCCATTGCCTTCAAGTCAATTCTGACTCATAGCGACCATATAGGACAGAGTGGAAGTGTCCCATAGAGTCTCCAAGGAGCACCTGGTGGATCTGAACTGCCGACCTTTTGGTTAGCGCCGTAACTCTTAACCACTATGCCACTAGGATTTCCCAATCCTGGATTAGGGAAGGTCTTTCTAATCAAGATGCAAAATCCCAGAAACCTTAAAACTGAATGATCAATCTAAGTAAAAAATTTTTTAATGCGTAATAAAATCCATCATAAGAAAAGTTAAATAATAAACTGAGAAAAAAATGTCATGATACATCTCCTAAGTATACAGAGTTCTTCTGAATAATTAAGAAAAAGATCAATAACACAACAGAAACACGGGCAAACGACATGAATACAGTTCACAGAAAAAAATACAAATGGCTTTTAAATGTAAAAAGATGCTCACACTCACTCATAATAAAATTACAACTGGTTAAGTTTTTGAAAGATGAATTCATACATTATTGGTGAGCATATATAGGAGCACAAATTCTATGGAGGAAAATTTGATATTACCCTTTGATGACCCAGCAATTCCACTTCAAAGACATTAAAGTTTGCACATGTGCACAAATCCCTGTAGCACTGCTGTGGCAGCAGCAGACTTTTAGAGAAAATCTAAATGTCCATCAACAGGGGATTGGTTAAACAAATTATGATTAGCCTAACAGTGGAATACTATAGAACTATTGAAACAGAATGGGGTAGACTGCCACCACTAAATGCTGGTGAAGATGGGGAACAACTGGAACTCTCATATGTGGGGATAGGTGCCATTAAAATACGGATGTATAAAGGCCTCTATGCTGCACAGCATGTTGAGACTTGTCCCCAACATGTTGAGACTTGTCACGACTTGTCTTCTCAAACCCGTTACTGATTGGCTTGTTTACCTGAATTCCTCCTCCCTTGCACGAAACTTATTGTTATTCACCCAAAGCCCATTGTTCTGTTATTTGCTTCACTGCTTGCTGTACTGACTATAAATAAACTCCTGGGACTGAAGCCGAGGTTCAACTCCTCAGAGTGACCCTCCTGGCCCCACTTCTCTGTAAGAGTTGTGGCACTGGTTACTGTCTCCACCGCCCCGACAACAGTCGCCACTGCGACACTCATACATTACTGGCAGGAGCGTAAAATGATACATTCACTTTGGAAAACCAGTAGATTCTTATAAAGTTAAAAATATAACTATTGTGTTGCTGTTGTTAGGTGCTATTGAGTCAGTTCCAACTCATAGCGACCCTATGTACAACAAAATGAAACACTGACCAGTCCTGGGCTATCCTCACAATTGTTGCTGAGTTTGAGCTCTTTGTTGCAGCCACTGTGTCAATCTATCTCATTGAGGGTATTCCTCTACCTTACCAAGCATAATGTCCTTCTCCAGAGACCCTACAGTGTATCAACTGCACTCCTGGAAATTTAGCCATAAGAAATGAAAACATGTCCACAAAAGACTTGTACTAAGGATGTTCAAAGGGACCTTATTCATAATAACCCCAAACTGGAAACAAATGTTCATTACAGGAGAATGGAAAAACAAATTGTGATATATCCATAAAATAAATTACTACTCAAGAAAAAAAAAATGAACTACTAATACATTCAACATGGATGAATCTTAAAACCATTAGGCTGAAAAAAGTGAGACTGAAGAGTACATACTGTATGATTCCATTTACCCAAAGTTTAAGAACAGGCAAAGTTAATCTGTGGTGACAGAAATCACAACAGTGGTTGCCTGTGTGGGGAGGGGGTTGACTGACTGGGAGAGGGTAGAAGAGAACTTTCTGGGGTGATGGAAATGTTCTGCATCTTGATTTGGATGGTGGTTACATGGATGTACACATCTGTCAAAGCTCATCATATTACACAAATAAAATCTGTGCATATTTCACCAGTATATTTTACCTCATTTAAGAGTCTGGGAGGAGACATAAACTACTGATAATTTCTTCTAGAGAGTGGGATTAGAAGAGATTTTCTACCTTTTACTTGACATATTTCTGTATTATTTGAGTTTGATTACATCCACCATGTAGTATTCTTTCTTTTTTTTTTTTTAACACATATTGTTTTATGACATTGGTTAACAGCCCCACAACATGTCAACCCTCTAACTTCTCAACCTTTTTTTTGGTGAAAATACACATAGCCAAAGATAGACCATTGCAAAAATTTCTACATGCACAGTTCAGTGACATTGACTACGCTCTTCCAATTGTGCTGTATCTCACTTAAAATGAAGGCTTACAGAACAAAATAGTTTCTCATTTAACAGTTACTACAAATGTTGCCCTATGACAATGGTTAACAATCTCACAACA